CTATCAGATCTAGTCCCTTAAATCTATTTCTCACTTCCACTGTATAGTCATAAGGGATTTGATTTAGGTCATACCTGAATGGTCTAGTGGTTTTCCCTACTTTCTTCAGTTTAAGTCTGAATTTGGCAATGAGGAGTTCATGGTCTGAGCCACAGTTATCTGAATATTCTCATAGTGTATGTAACCTGGGGGTTATAAGTCACATACAAAATGGAAGAGCTCTTCTTCTTAGAATGCAATAAAACAAGGACCCAAGAATAAAAAATGGAAGAGCTCTTATTTTTAAGATGCAAGGAATAAAACAAGGACCCAAAATGAACCTACATTGAATCAGTATGCCATTCTCACCAGCCGTATGCCCTGGACAAGGCAGGGAGCTATTGCATTTATAGAATGGAGATAACCATGTAAAGCTGCTGAGCATGGGGACTGGACCAGATGGTGTTTTGAGGTCCTTTTACCACTAAAATTCAGTATTTTATTTTACAGCTAATTACACAAGTGACATAAAGGTGGCAAGAGGCTGAGAGGTGGGCCTGAGTCTGCAGTGTTACCGCTCACGAAATGCTCCCTTCTCGACTGAGAAAGCCTCCTCCTGGGATGTCTGGGATTGAATCACAAAAACTTCCAGAATTCTGGGTTTCCTGCAAGTAGAAGAGTTTCTGGGGACTTGAGGACAAGAGTCCTGGGTAAGGCTACCACCTTGAAACTCACTGCATTTAAAATATCAGTGTCTCTTAAAGGAGCACCTTAAAGCTGAGAGTGGTGTCGGTTTAGCCACTAACTGCCCGACTCTTTGCGACCCCATGGAGCGACCCCATGGAGCGTAGCCCGCCAGGCTCCTCTGTTCAGGGGATTTCCCAGGCAAGAATACTGGAGGGGGTTGCCATTCCTTTCTCCAAGGGATCTTCCAGACCTACGGATCAAACCTGAATCTCCTGCATTACAGGCGAATTCTTTTACTGCTGAGCCACCAGGAAGAGGTCCCCACCAACAGCCAACAAGTAAGTATCCTTAACCCTACAACCAGAAGGAACTGAATTCTGCCAACTCTGAAGTGAGCTTGGAAGAAGATTCTTCCCCTGAGCCTCTGGCTGGAGAGCCCCAGATGTCTGACGGCTTGACTTCATCTTTGTGAGTGCTTGAGCAGAGGAACCAGATGACGAGCTGCGCCCACCTGCACTTCTGACTTACAGAACTGTGAGATAAAAAGATCTTGTTGCTTTAAACCAAAACATAAAGTAAAATAAACCATTAGTGTCTCTGGGGACTTCCCTGGCAGTCCAGTGGTTAAGACTCTGTTTCAACTGCAGAGCTCATGGGTTCGATCCCTGGTTGGGGAACTAAGATCCCACATGCCATGCATGGTGTGGCCAAAAGATAAAAATTAAAAAATAAATAAAACATCAGTGCCTCATGAAAAATGCAGAGGAAGATCCCTCTCTCCAACAAAATCAACCCTCTAAATCCCTGCTGTAAAGAAAATCTGCTAAGCCTGCCCTCTGCCCGTCTCTGCTTGATAAACTTATACTCATCCTTCAAAACCCAGAACACAAGTGGTCTCTGGTATCTAAATGTCACTGAAAGCTTTCCTCCGGCTGTGACAGGAACTCTGTGCCTTTATCCTCCCCAGCTTTTCTTATAACACTATTAAGGCAAACGGGGGCTTGGAAAAGCTGAGCTCATAACAGCAAGCTCCTGAGTATCCTGGGACTGTGTCTTTTATTTACNCTGGAAATGTAAATTAGCCTAATTACTTTGGAAAGCTGGTCAGCTGTACCTATTAAAGCTGAATAAACATATACCATATGACACGGATATCTCACTCATATAATATTCAAAGAAATGCTGCTATATCCGATAATAAAGATGAATGGCACGAAGAGAGAGAAAGAAGCTAGAGATGGAGAAATCCTATATGATTACAGTTCATTATATTGGGTTAAAAACTGATACTGTTGAAAGTCAAGACTGGTTATCCTTGCGGGGAAGGGCTGACTGGAGGGCCATGAGGGGTCTTTGGGGATAGCAGTAACATTAATATAACCTGATGTGGAGATCGGTTACATAGGTATTTTAGCTTGTGAAAATTCACTGAGCTGTTATTATAAACTGTGTGCTTTTCTGTTTTTCTGTTTGTATCTTTGTTATTGTCCCCTCGAATACTTTAAGGAATGAAAACCAAGTATATAAAATGAGATTCTACCAAAGCCCCACCAGGAGTCTGGAGGTATAACAGAGGATCCTCAACTATAGTTCCATTTTGTGTAATCCCAAGTCTTCTAAATGAAAATAACTTGAATCACAGAAGAAAAGATAAACAGATTGAGTCTAGGTAGGTGACAAATTATACTATGAAAATTAAGAATGCCAAATAAATTATTACAAAAACAGTCCTACAGGCAAACCTCTCATATATTGCAGGTTTGGTACCAGACCACTACAATAAAGTATCTCAATAAAGCAAATCACACAAATTTTTTGGTTTCCTGAACCATGTAAGAGTTATGCTTACACTATACTAATAGTCTACAGAATGTCTAATAGCATTATGTCTAAATACCTTAATAAAAATACTTTATTATAACACATTAACCATACTCTGAGACTTCAGCAAGTTGTATTAGTAACATCAAAGAGCACTGATCATGGATCACTATAACAAACACAGTTAATAAGGAAAAAGTTTGAAATACTCCAAGAATTGACAAAATGCTACACCAAGACACAAGTGAACAAATGCTGTTGGAAAAATGGTACCAGTAGACTGGCTTGACTCGCCTGCTTGACAGTCTGTAATAAATGCGTTCTCTGGGAGGTACAATAAATTGAAGTATGCCCCTACTGTCTTTGTAACTGAAGTTGTGCAACACAACCAGTGGTTAAGATTAAAAAGAAAAAACAGCAAAAGAAAAAGGAAAACGTCCACTAAAGCAAAGTTTCATAATCCAGCACTTTTAAATACAGCCTTACAAATGTGTACAACATATACCACACTGGCAAAATCAAACTGTTTACTAATTAGCATTAAAAGCACTGTAATTGCTCAATAGTTTAAAATATATTGCAAGCAACATTCTTTTTTAATATTACTTACTCAGCGTATTGTGGTCTGTGTGAATACCTTGTATAACAGATGTTCTGAGTATCAATTCAACATCAGAACCTATTTTTATTAGCTGTTAAGAAAACAAACAAAAAGAATAAATCTCCTGCATGTTTTTCCAATGGTTCACATCAATGTACCATTTTTGAAAACTACAGGTTTACTACTACAATTTCTTTTTAGGTGATACTTGCTTTTAACTTTTTTTTTTTTGGCCGGGCCTTGCAACCTGGGAAAACCTAAGTCCCCAACAAGGAACAAACCCACGTCCCCAAAAGTGGAAGTGTGGAGCCTAACCACCGGACTGACAGGGAATTTCCTTGCCTTTAACTTTCTGTAACCATTTCAAGCTTATAGAAAGCTTAGACATGCAGGTACTTTTACCTTTTATCTATCCATTCCATATTTTGATCCAGAACAGATTTGGAATATTTTTTGTTGTAATATATACTTTACATTTAAAATGTGCAGTTTTCTTGTTATTCTTTTGAGTGTGTCTGAATCTTTCTTACACTACAGAGTTGGATGTTCTGAACACTAGTGAAAGCATTGCATTAGGAGTCAGAATACTTGGACTCCAACTCTGGCTCTGTCATTGAGTACGTGGCCTTGGGTTAATATCCACTCTCTTTAGAGTTTCAGACCTCATCATCACAAAATGAAGAACAGTGGTTCTCAGAGCCGTGGATCCTTGGGAGGATCTTGAGACTCCTTCAGGGGACCCATAAAGTCAAAATTATTTTCATAATATTAGAGCCATCTGTATTGTTTGAGCTGTGAGCAACAGAGCTTTTTCTTTGGAAAACCATTTCTACTTGAATGAACCACTGACAGACAAACTCTGATTATTCAGATTTGGGTAACTGGCAGATGTTTTCTTGAAGATGAGTGATATGAGTACCTCACTTCAAGAAAACAACTGACAGCCATTTGCTGACAATGACAAAATTTAAGCTTTTAAGCAAAAATCACAATTCTGGAGAACTTTTATCTGTCATTTTAAGCCTGACAGATTCCCAATACAAGATTTTTCTGGTGAGATGGATATTAACAGATGCAATTTAAAAATATTACATACTGAACTATGTCAATATTTGGAAGGTCTGCATTACTTGGTAAACTTATGTTTTTCAAATCACTAGTACATGATGTTACAAAACCATGCATGGGTAAAAGACCCACTCAACGGGACAAACATTAACATCTATTGGTCTACTAAATGAAGACATGAGGGCATATGAAAGAATATCCTAGAAAGAAGAAACAGCATAAATGGCCTCAGACAAGAAAGTTCTTGGCAAATTAAAGCACCCTCAAAGAAGGTACTAAGCTGGACAGGTAAGAAGTGTGTGGTGAGTTGAGGTGGGAAGTTAACAGGAGTCAGATGATGCAGTATTAAAGGTCATGGCAGGCAGAGACTTTAGATTTTACTTTGAATGGGATGAGGAGCCATGGAAGTTGTGAACAGAGTAGCTATGGGATATGCCTTTTTAAAAGGCTCACTGTCCTTTAAATATCAAGACTAGGCTGCAGGGAGTTAGAGCAGAAGCAACAACAGGTGCTAGGAGGCTGTTGTAAAAATCCAGTGAGAAATAATGGTGGCTTGAACTAGGAAATAATAATGGTTAGATAAGAAATGGTCAAATTCTGGATATATTTTGAAGGTTAAGTCAACAGGATTTGCTGTCAGATTGGATGTAAATGTGAGAGAAGCAAAGTAGTCACAAACGAGAACACCAAGGTTTTTGGTCTGAACATAAAAAGGAGGGAGCTGCCATTAATTGACACAGAGAATGCTGGGCAAAGCCTCACCTCCTGACAGACCTGAGAAGGGGCCTAGTAGGGTAGAGAAAGAAAAACAATGAGCCTTCTCACTCACTGGAGGTGCATAAACTGAGCTGAGGTTTAGGTTTAAGGCTGGAAACAAAGCTAGATCAGAAACAAGGGATTAGGGGAGAAGAGAGGGGATAAGCAGGATGTGGTTCCGTATAAGACCTCGAACTCCCCGTCCCCCCAAGGAGATAAACACACATGCCCATCCATTGGTCTAACAGATAACAGAGCTCCACACTGCAACTAACCTTCAGAAATTTACCACTTGTTTAGGTGTGGTATCAAAGAATATTCACAATTACTTGAAAAGGATAATATATACACCTACCATCTTCCAACTATGTATCTATATAAGGCTGAATTTTCTTCATATAACTCAGTCTAAAAAACATATGGCATGAGGTTGAATAAGGAAGCAGATATAAGAATTTAGTTAAGTCCTATTAAGCCAGACATTACAGAGATTTGCAAAAACATAAAATAATGCCATTCTTCTCACTATATTTTTCTGAAAATAGTTATTTTTCATGAAGACTATATATGTTAGCATGTAATAAACATATCAATTTGAATTATTTAATTAACATATATTTTAAAAATTTCTCAGTTTTAAATTCTATTATGGTAAATATTGATAGGTATAACATACATGCAACACCTTTTGGAGTCTTCAGTTTTTTAGAAGGTAAAGTGGTCTTGAGACCAAAAAATCTGAGAACTGCTGGTCGAGAGGTCACCTAGGATTCCTTTCAGTGCCAAGACTTCATCACAATACACGATAAGTTAATTACCTACAAATTACTAAATATTTAATATACTTAATAAATACCTACAAATTAGTAAATATTTAATATATGAAAGTACAAAATATATATGTACACATATATGTGTGTATATATATATAATATAACAAGTATCTAATTTCAAGAGGGCTTAATGTTAGTGCTCTATATGTGAAATTAATCTGGAGATTATAGTCCACTTTTCCAGTTTAGTTGGTATAAACAGACTGCAATTAAATATTTTTAAAATCATGGCTTCAAAATTTAGAAACACAGGCATATCTCAAGAGATATTGTAGGTTCAGTTCCAGACCACCACAATAAAACAAATATCACAATAAAGCGAGTCACATGAATTTTTAGTTTCTGTCTATCAAAGTTATATTTACAATATACACTAGTCTATTAAGTGTGCAACAGCATTATGTGTAAAAGAAAATAATGGGGACCTCCCTGGTGGTCCAGAGGTTAAGGAACCACCTTCCAGTGCAGGGATGTGGGTTCAATCCCTAGGGAACCAGGATCACACATGCCCTGGGGCAGCTAAGCCTGTGCTCTGCAACAAAAGATCCCACAAGTAAAACCTGACGCAGCTAAATAAATAAAACAATATTCATATCTTCCTTAAAAAAAAAACTTAATTAAATAAAAAAAAAATGCTAACCAGCGTCTGACAATGCAGGGTTGCCCCAAACCTTCAATTTGTATAACACACAGACTCTGTGAAGTGCAAATAAAGCAAAGCACAATAAAATGAGGTATACATGTACCATATTGTTAATAGTCAGTTTTCCAAATAGCAAAATAGTACAACCCTTGGCATACACCTTTAAACTTCTTTTCAAGACGTGACTTCATTATAACGTCATTTTAACTGCTCATGGATAAAAATTACATAGTCCCCATTCGTCCTATCATAAGATTAGGTTAAATCTCTCCTGTTTTATGTTAAAGGGAAAGAAATCCTTAGGCTATCTCATTGTGTCTCACCAGTGTATTACAGATATTTACTACTTCAAAAATAGCATTTTCTCTACTAAGTATAAAAGTATTAGTATAAAATTTTTTGTTTCAATTTTCTATTAAACATGGAAGAATTTCTCTACATTGTACCTTCCTCTTTACTAAACCAATTCTTGGAATCTTAATTAACCCAGCAAATAATTTTTCATTTTCTTCCTAAGGGTCCTTTCCCCTACACTTATACAAAGTTAGGTCCAGGAACTCTTAGGAAGCAGTGTTCCTTCCTAAGACAGAGACAATGTACGTACGCATATGACTTTATACAGGAAAAGAATCAGTGAGCACTTTTTCAATGAACAAGCACTGGGAATACTAGGGAGCTCACAGAGTAGTGTTAGCAGACTATCTTCCACGAGGGAAGTGACTAAAATGTAAATACAGAAGGTAAAGCAAGAACAATTCATAAATTCTGGCTATTCAACTTCCACGACCAAGATATGAATTAAAAATAATTCTGTCCAGCTGAGCTAAGTGAGTAGAAGTTTTCTCTGTGTAACTTAAGAGAGAGTTATCACACTCACTCTCCTTAGTTTGTCACTTGCCTTAGACAAAGAGAGCATCTCTGTGAGTTTCTAGGTTGGTTCAGCTGTTCTTGCTTTGATCATGATTATACCCATGCTATTTTCACTAGGCAACTTACAGATGTAGGCACATGACCCTTGAGGAGGTGAGCCATACCAAACAAGTGAAGGTCATCTATAGTTGTGATGGCTTTAACTATCAACTAATGGTTTTTATTTCATAAAGTCTCTCCATTTTTATCATTTCCTCTAGTTGCTAAAATTTGAGTTTTATTGTAATTGAAACATTTAATACTGTACCTCTTCTATTTTCTTAGCAGAAGTTTCAGTTTTATTACATTTGAATTCTTCATTTATCTTTATTCGGGCTGCTAGAAAAAGGAAAAAATACGCACATAGTTATCTGCTTTTCTAATTTATAATTCCTGTCCCAATAATTTGCATATTATTCATTTTATTACAGTATGATATGCTATATATATATATATCTATATATATATTTTTCTCAATTTCTCAAGCAGAAAAAAATAATTTTGCCCTGCGTAAAACAAAGTAAAAAATAAGAAATTTATTTTAAAAGTCTTTTGGAGAGCTTTTTACAGGCTGGCAAATTTTTAATTAAACCTAATATATATTTTCAGCATTCTAATATTTTTGTTTCCTGCTTTTTATTTCTAATTTCATTTGACCCTCTAGCTGTGAGATCCTAATAAATTCAAATTAATACTTTGCTTTTGTAAATATAAGGATCTGAATTATAATGCTTTTTGTTTTTAAGTTGGCAAAACTCAATACATATAAGCATGTTTAACTATCCCTCCTCCAAAACACTTAAAATGAAGATATGGCAGCAAAGAGGATACGTAAATAATTTTGAGTGCCTTGGCTGACAGAGTGATGGACAAATGAAACTTTTGTTCATATAATCCAATGCTTTGGCATCACTACAGCAAAATAATTTAATATAACTGATAAACTGCTTTATAGTGCTGCTGTGAGCATTCAATAGTAAATATGCATTGTTAGTTATTCTTATAATTATTTCACTTAAAAACATTTAAAGGCACAAAAACATGCTATGGTGATAAGATGAGCCATAGAACCTTCCTTCTGTGCTCAATACATGTCACCATGTAATATGGCTAAGAGTTCAGGCTTTGGAGCCAGAATGCTGCGGCTAAGTCCCAGCTCCACCTATCCTTTCACATTATTGTCAGTTTTCTCATCTGCAAAGCCAGAAACTTTAATAGTAACTACCTAACAGGTCTGTGCTAAGAATTAAATAAGGAATTTGTGTAACATACATATAATATGAAGTATATACTTTCATATTCAAGAAATGTTTTTGGTAAATTACAAAAACTTGAATTCATAGGGACAGTGGGGACACTTTACCTAGATGCCCTCTTTTTTTCCTTTTTTTTTTTTTAATGGAGATTGAATTTTTAAAAAATTTTATTGGAGTATAGCTGATTTACAATGTAATTTCTGCTGTATAGCAAAGTGAATCAGTTATACCTATACATATATCCACCCTATTTTAGATTCTTTTCCCATACAGGTCATTACAGAGTGTTGAGTAAAGTTCTTTGTGTTATATTACTTATCCCATACCTTATTATTTATCTATTTTATATACAGTAGTATGCATATGTCAGTAACAATCTCCTAACTTATATACTCTCCCTCCTAAGTTTTCCTCTTAAAGAGCTTTAGAAACTGAGTATGACCAACACAGAACTTAAACTTTAGAGCTCTGAGTTCCAGAAAAGACAGAAACCACTTTAAACAGTGAAATACTGAATCTGGAATCATTTGTGATAGTCTCCCTTTCATAGTTTCACAGCTGCTGCCACTTCTAGAATGACACCGGCATTAACAAAATGGTAGCATCTGGTCCCAGAGAAAGTGAAAATTTGATTATATAACAGAGAAATGAGTTTCACGACTTGAATGTAAGGCAAGCAATGGAGCACAATGAAATTCGGATCCTTTTTTTCCTTATTCTTTATGAAAATTTGATCTTTTACAATTTTTCTAAGTAAATACTTCTCAAAGAAGTGTAATAGAAACTCATTAAAACAAACAAACAAACAAACAAACATACATTAAGAGAGAGATAGTGAAGGTCATTGCCTAAGGCAGGTCTTAACCATACAGGGTCTCTTGGACTACTAGTAACCAACTGAAAAGTGGACTTGCTTCAAAGTGGCAAAGTATAAACTTACCTTCTAATGCTCTAGCATCATTTTTAAAAACCTGTTGTCTGGTCCTGTGCAATGTTTTAAAGAGCTGTAAAACCTGGAAAGGAAATCAGAATTCAGACCTCAAAAGAAAAAATTTTCACATTTTACATAATTACAGGGATTAAACAGCATTTATTTCTTAGATTATTTTTCAAAGTAGCTGGTGAAAACAAGAGTTGGTCAAAATAACTCCCTTGATTATTTATCTTTACAGTAAAAAAAATTAACCTTATGTATTTACAAAAATAATATAAAATTCTTTGAAACAAAATAATATGAGAATGGTTAAAAAGTTAATGATCCCCCTGCCAAAATTAGTTTGCTAAGGTAACCAGCTTTGCTAGTCTGGTATGTATTTTGTTCTCATTTTTCTTAACATAGACCTTCATCAGATCTTAAAGTCACATACATATGCATACAAACTCATGAATATACTACATCTTGAAAGAGCCCAGAAGGAAGATGCTTTAGATAATTTAGGAAAGTTTAATTGTGACTTCTCAAAAAAGAAGAATGCTGACACTTCTGAATATTTAAGACTGTGCTTAACAACAACAAAAAAAGCATATTCAATATTGTCCCCCCCAACACTGTTCTTTCTTCTATCCTCTCAATTTTAGTTATGGAAAACAGTGAATTTCTGAAGCCAGAAAATCTCTAGGTCATTCTTTAAATCTACCTTACTCCTCACAGAGAAACTGTAGGGATTTCTCTCTAATCTCTTGTATATTCTCCATCACCCAAAACAATTTAAATTCAGATCTCTGCCTATCTCGTGCTTAGACTACTGACAAAGATTTGCCTCTCTGCCATCATTCCCTCCTCTCCCCCAGTCCATTCACCAGATAACAACACTGAAACTTCACTGAGGGTATCCTATGTGCTACGCACTATTCAAATATTTTACATATAAGAGAAAACCTATAGCCTCATAGGCAGACACCAAAGCAGAAACAGGAAGCAGGAAACATAAAAATAAAACAAAGATTAACCAAAGAACTTTCTCAGAAATGTAAGTTATTGCAAACATGGAATAACAACAAAAAGAAGTTACAGTAAAAGGAATGTTCAGAAAATGCCCCAGAGCTCTTGGATAGCAAATGAGTGACAGCTAGGATTAAGTTCGGGAAAAACTGCCCAGCAAGTAGAACAGGAAGTTGAGGAAAGGATAATACAATTAAAGGAGAAGTCTAGATGGCCCAATAGTTATAGTCACAGGATCGCCAACCAGAGAGAACAGAGAATGCAGATTCCACCAACTGATCAACCCTAACCCATGCTGCGGCACATCATGATGTAAGTTCAGCACACTGCTAACAAAAAACCTTACAGCTCACGTATAAAAAACAGAAAATTACAAAGCCACCTGATTTCTAAACAGCATCACTGTGAGAAGACAACGATATAAAATCTTCAAGTTATATATCTAAACTATAACCTAACTGCAATGACAAATCGGTATTTTCAGAAATGCAAAGTCTCTTATTTGCTATATGCCCTTTCTTGAAAAGCTACAGAAGACTGTGCTGCACCCAAACAAGGGGCGATCTCTCTCTCACACATGCACAGATACACACAATGGGAATGAGGGAGACAGGTGATCCAACACAAGAGAAACAGAGAGGATGGTAAAGGACAAATAAAGGTCAGCATTTGTGCAGCCAGCAGAGAAAGCAACTATTCTGGACTAGAGCAAAAGATCCAGAAAAGATGATGCTAGGAAAAAAAATGAAACTAGTAAATATCAGTTTTGCTTATAGTTTGGGAATAGATAAGTAGGAAAACTGATAATAAAAACAAAGCAGTTATTAACATCAAGAAACACTAAGACTTAGGAAAAAAAGGCAACATAATCATATATTTATATTAGCAGGCTCAGCTCTGGACAAATTTTGTATAATCATATCAAAGATGAAAATGGATTCACCAAAATTTGTATAATGAGAGAAATAGGGTATTAGGGAGAACTTAGTCCTTAAACTCACTGCAGACGGTGATGGCAGCTATGAAACTAAAAGATGCTTGCTCCTTGGAAGAGAAGCTATAACAAATCTAGACAAGGCATTAAAAGCAGAGACATCACTTTGACAACAAAGGTCCACATAGTCAAAGTTATGGTTTTTCCAGCAGGCATGTATGGATGTGAGAGTGGGACCATAAAGAAGGCTGAGCACCAAAGTATTGATGCCTTCAAATTGTAATGCTGGAGAAGACTGCTGTGAGTCCACGGACTACAAGGAGATCAAATCAGTCAATTCTGAAGGAAATCAACACTGAATATTCATTGGAAGGACTGATGCTGAAGTTGAAGCTCCAATACTTTGGTCGATGAGAAGAGCTAACTTGTTGGAAAAGATCCCGATGCTGGGAAAGATTGAAGGCAAAAGGAGAAGGGGGCAGCAGAGGATGAGATAAGTGGATGGGATCACTTGGAGGAGAAGTGATGGACATGAGTCTGAGCAANTGAGAAGAGCTAACTTGTTGGAAAAGATCCCGATGCTGGGAAAGATTGAAGGCAAAAGGAGAAGGGGGCAGCAGAGGATGAGATAAGTGGATGGGATCACTTGGAGGAGAAGTGATGGACATGAGTCTGAGCAAACTCTAGGAGATAGTGAAGGACAGGGAAGCCTGGCATGCTGTAGTCCATGGGGTCACAAAGAGTCAGATACAGCTGAGCAGTTGAACAACAAAATCCTCACCTTTTGCAGACAAAGGTCAGTAAATATCTCCAAAGAGGGGAAAAAAAATCAATAGTAGTTTAAACATGTTATTTATAAACATGGAGGTAAATATAAGAAGAAATAACTAAAATGATTAAAAAGTGCTTATATCTGGGGAGCAGGAATGGGGAGTCTATAGAAGGAAGTAGATACCTACTGGTTTCTGCATAACGCCATTTGACTTCTTAAATTTTATACACTTATCTCCTTTATAAAAACTAAAAATATATATAATTTAAAAAGAGAAAGAGAAAGGACACTTATCAACAAAAAGTTGATACAGTTTCTCCGTGAGGAGTAAGGTAGATTTAAAGAATGACCTAGAGATTTTCTGGCTTCAGAAATTCACTGTTTTCCATAACTAAAATTGAGAGGATAGAAGAAAGAACAGTGTTGGGGGGGACAATATTGAATATGCTTTTTTTGTTGTTNCTGTAGGCAAACACAGGGTTGTTAAAGGTGGTGGAATGTCATAGAAAACCAGGGAGTTTAATACTACAAGAGTAGTTGAAGAGGCTGCAAGGGATTAAGAAGGAAGTGAAAAGTAAGTATGCCTAATTATTTTACATACTATTTAGGGGAAAAAGAAAGTAATTCACTTAGTACAACCACCAGTATCCCTACTTTAAGAACTAGTATTAAGCAAATGTCATCATTACTGCCTCAGAGCTAATATCACCTTGGAGTTAGTAAACTTCTATTAAAATAAAGAAACCTAGGTCAGACTGTCTTCTTGTTTTGATGTACTTACATTGATTGGACACATTTAGGTAGTGTATATGGAAAGTCAATTCTTCACAGTAAGATCAGTTTAAGTCTGATGTTACCACTTATTGTAAGCTTAGGCAAATTAGCCTTTTTGCTTCAATTTTCTTGAATAGTAGGCTAGTTTCAAGGGCGGATGACATAATTTCTATACTCGGTTTCAGTCTAGCTGGTTATCATTTCTGTCTTCTAAATCTGGGTTATATGCCCCTCTTAAGTACATCCACAGCACTTGGCACTTACTACACTTTCTTGAAGTGTCCCCTACTTCCTGAGAGGCTTCTCAGTCACTTTGTATCTTCCACACTTAGCACAAGTGTCTTCTACACATGATAGTTCTTATCAAAAGCACTTTTGGAATGAATTTTATTTAATTTCATTGTATTCAAGTTTTCCAAGCAACTTTCCACTTGAAGGATGGTCCATATGCTACTTCCTCTTTACAGAATACTCCTTCCTCTCTTCTCCTAGGTAATTTCTTAAAAAAAAACAAACAAACTATTTATTTTAAATTGGAGAATAATTGCTTTACAATATTGTGTTGGTTTGTGCCATACATCAACATCAATCAGCCATAGGTATACATATGTTCCCTCCCTCTTGAACCTCTCTCCCAGTCTTACTTAATTTCTAATAACACTTCAGGTCTCAGTTTACATAGGTGATTTTTTTTTTTTCTTTTGCATCCCTCCAGACAGGATTATATGCTCACAAAAATGCACTGCATTTTCAATTTAAAATACAGTGAATAAATACTAGTAACTAAATAACTGTTTAAACTCTCTCTACCTGCCAGACTTCTGTATGAAGTTACTGTTGCATCCACCATGCCTAGAAAGTACAGGCCAAATGCTGGCTATTAAGTGCTGCTGCTGCTAAGTCGTTTCAGTCGTTTCTGACTCTGTGCGACCCCATAGGCGGCAGCCCACCAGGCTCCCCCGTCCCTGGGATTCTCCAGGCAAGAACACTGGAGTGGGTTGCCATTTCCTTCTCCAACGCATGAAAGTGAAAAGTGAAAGTGAAGTAACTCAGTCGTCTCCGACTCTTAGCGACCCCACGGACTGCAGCCCACCAGGCTCCTCCGTCCATGCGATTTTCCAGGCAAGGGTACTGGAGTGGGTTGCCATTGCCTTCTCCCTATTAAATGCTACCAAAAGCTATTATGGACACGCAGTAAGTTTTCTGAAAGAATAACCCTTTACAGTTCTGTTTCTATCAGTCCTGTGACATATATTAAAATGTTCTCGGAACAGAGTTCAGTAGTACAAGAGGAACTCTTGGTGGCTCCCTGTTATTGACCAACCTTTGTAAGCACTGTTTGTTTTTTGCTCACTATACTATGGCAGATCAATTTCCCTTTTCCATGTCTATGTCTCAACCGGCCATACTGATAATACTTAAGGTTGGTTAGGGATGGCTGGTCCCAGAGAATTGTACACTGGCCAGGATTGCGCATCAGTTTGATAAGAAATACGTGACCTCGATCCTCAAGGGGGCATCAGCTCCCAGAGCTCGTTCAGAGCACACAGGAATCTCAGGTTTCTGCTGTCTCAAGTGCTACTTTTGTCAAGTGGTTTTGCCGGGATTCGGTTTCCCTGGTTACTAGACGTCTATGCACCATAGCATTGTTTCTAATGCACCGCAACCAATCACCACGAAGCATCTCCTTTGTAGCCCCGCCCCCACGAAGGAACAGGCTAGGGGAGTTGGTTAAGACGGTGGCCTCTGGGAAAACCGCGAGGAGCCGCCGAGCTCATTTACCGCAGAGGCAAGAACGGAAATAGCCTGGACGCCATGTTAGTTAGGGGCAGAGGCACTTCCGGCCGTTTCTGAAGCAGCCTCTGGTGGTAGAGTGTGGGTTGATAAATAGCTTCGGCACCTTTATGTCCTTACGTCTATTAAGGAACCGTTATTTTAACGTTTCTGAGTTGCAACTTTTGTCTTTGCAAAAGTGCACAAATAAGAGCCAAGCCCTAGCAACTATCGCAGGTGTTGAATGGAACGCCGACTTTCAAAAGCACTATTTACACTTTATCCCACTTCATTCCTCTAGAGGGTGAGGCTGAGTTACTTCCTTAGACCACACGTTGCCTACTCAACAGGCCCTACTCCTTGGCTGGTCAAAGGTTGGAAACAGTTTATTAGCAGCATCATGAACATAAATTATCATAAAGCATTTAGCTACATTTAACTTACGACTTTGCAAGCATCAAGAAAAAAAATCTCAACCTTGCTCCCATTGCATAGTCATTGTCTTCCCTACTCCCCACAGTTAAACTTTTAGGTAAAATTAACTTTTTTTCAGCTTAACCTTTAGGTAAAATTGGCTTTTTATTAGAAATGAAGATTTGGACCAATGGATCTCTAAGGCCCCTTTCCTTCTCTATGATTTGTCATTTTACAGAATATTGCAAGTTATCATGAGAATAGCAAGATAACATTACTTTTTAAAAATTAAAATGCACTGGAGTTGCAAAAGACTGTTTAACCATAAGCAATTAAGCCAAATACACTGGATACTGTCACTTATTCAGGGAATATTAGATGATCTTCTGATACTGTATAGTAGTGCCTTTTGATTGCTAATGAATGATTCAAAGATGCTTATTTTCAGTATAGAATCACAGCCCAATTTCCTGAAATTCATAATTTATTGTTATAATTTCTGGCTAACTAGGGTCCTGTATTCAGTTAATCAAAACCACTCACCTGCCAAAATTTGAAAGTACAGTTTTCATAGTGCCCAAATCAATTCAGTTCAACCTTCTCTTCCCTTCACTAAATCTGTATGGTTCCTTGAACTGTTCCATAAATGAAGTGACTATTCTGCCTCTTCTGGGAATCCATCCTGGTTTGCTGGCATCTCAAAGTATAGGACCCAGAACTGAATAAAAAATTCCAATATGTGCATTAGATGAAGTCATGGAACTANCTGCCTCTTCTGGGAATCCATCCTGGTTTGCTGGCATCTCAAAGTATAGGACCCAGAACTGAATAAAAAATTCCAATATGTGCATTAGATGAAGTCATGGAACTATACGGTAGGCAGGATAATGGCCTCCAAAAGATGTCCCTCTTTAAATCCTAGGAACTTCTGAATATATTACTACCATGCATGACAAAATGAACTTTGCAGATGTGATTAAATATTTTAACAACTTATTGACCAGACATATATTATGATGCCTTTTGTTACCCGAACATTACTGACTGGAGTGTTTCAAAATACACTTACATAATAAATTGCTGGACACAGGTGTTAAGTTAGTTTCTGCAAAAAGCCCCAGTCAATAATGTGCTAAGATGGGAAGTTTATCCTCGATTGTTTGATGGGCACAAGGTAATAATCACAAGGATACCTGTAAGTGGAAGCAGGAAGCAGAGTAAGGGAGAGGTTTGCAGATGCTCCCCTGTGGTCTTTGAAGATGGAGGAAGTGGAAGATGGATGCAGGTGGCCTCTAGAAGCCAGAAAAGGCAAGAGAAGCATTCTTCCCTAGAGCCTGCAGAAGGAACGCAGCCCTGTGGACATCAAGATTTTAGGCCCAGTGAAACCCAATTTGGACTTCTGAGTTCCAGAATGTCACTGGCTTGTGGACCCTTCCATCTTCAAAGCCAACAGCAGAACATCTTCAATCTTTGACTCTCACACCTGCTTCCATCATCAAATCTCCTTGTCTGACTCTCACTCTCCTGTATCCCTGTTTTATTTAAAGGTGTCCCTGTGATTATATTTGGCCCATCTGGATAACTGAGGGATCTCCCCACCTAAAGACCTTTAACTTAATCGTATCTGCACATCCCCTCTACCATGTAAAGTAACATATTCACAGGCTCCAGGGATTAAAACATGGAAATCATGTGCCTACCATACCAGTTTGGGTAAAGCTTGTCAATAAGGATGAAATGGAAGGAAATGAAGTAGGAGAAACAGTGATGGGCCTGATCACTTAAGAGCTTATTAGCCAAGTTAAGGGTTTTATATTTAATTCTATGGTGAAATGCCTTACCGGCAGGAGACTAACATCATGATTTATATTATATAGAAATCATTTTGGGTAGTATATAGCAAATGGACTATAGTAGAAGCAAATAGGCAAACCAGGAGGCTCTTGAAATACGCCATGCAAGATATGGTAGTGACTTGGATTTGGGTAAGAAGGGGAGATGAGAAGTGATTAGATTCACCTGTGTTGAAAATCCACAAAGAAAATCCACAGAGACTTCAAGGATTTTGGCTTGAGCAATTTGGTCAATGGTACTATAGCAAAGTCAGAAGGCTGCTGGAATAGGTTTTTAGATTGTTATGGAGGGAGTAAAAATAAGTTTGAAGTGCTTGGTAGACATCCTACTGAAGGTAGTGAGTAGGCAGAAATATGCTTCATACACCAATCTGAAATTAAGAGGTTAGGAGATAAACACTAGACAGTCATTACTCTGTAGATGATAATGCCTCTGGTTGAGTGAAAGATGACCATAATATTTATTATGCAAACCCATACAAACTCTTCAATTTTTAATTTTGACAATTTCAGTCATAAAGTTGTAAGAATGATAGAATGTACAAACACCTTTCACTCAGTTTTCCCTAATGTTAACATTTTACAACAGTTGCTTTATCCTCTTCTCTCTACTTATCTTTATCTTAACATTTTTGAGGTTGTCTTTACTGTGACCCCTGGAGAAGGGAACGGCAACCCACTCCAGTATTCTTGCTTGGAGAATTCCACGGACAGAGGAGCCTTGGGGAATACAGCCCACTGGGTCACAAAGAATTGGACACGACTAAGTGACTAACACTTTCACTTTACTGTTTTGACAGTGAGTTGCAGACACCATACTCCTATACTCCTAAACACTTCAGTAGGTGTCTTTCTGACAGAAAAAAAAAAAAAAAAGACATTCTCTGGCATCAGTGGTTCTCATAGTTCCCAGGCTAGCAGCAACTGTATCTCCTGGAAACTGTTAGAAACCTACTAATAAATTACAGGGCCCCACCCAGATCAACTGATTTCGATAATTTTGCTATATGTTTGTGGGAAAATTAACAAGATTTTCAAAACCATTTCCTAATTTGTACACATTATTTAGATTTCACAAATTGTTCCAGGAATGTCTTTGATACCAAAAATACCAAATGAGACACTTTTGTGATTAAAGAGGGCCACCATCAATAATCGCACCAGAGCAAAGTGGTAAAGGTGTAATTTTTCATAATATGGACACTTGGAGATTAGGTGTTAGCTAGAGAAGAGGGCCAGGAATGCAATCCACATTGAGAGGCCTGGAACAGAAAGCTCCCTATGAAGGAAAAATAGCATCCAGTGAGGTAGGAGAGTGAAGGAGAGTGATGCTGAAAAGAAGGAATGGTCACAGAGGCAAATGTTGCCAAGAGGTCAAGTATAATGGCAATTGGAATTGCTATAGGATGTTGTGTGACCTGGTTCCAAATTGGAAAAGGAATACATCAAGGCTGTATATTGTCACCCTGCTTATTTAACTTATATGTAGAGTACATCATGCAAAATGTTAGGCTGGATGAAGCACAAACCGGAGTAAAGACTGTTGGAAGAAATATCAATAACTTCAGATACACAGATGACACCACCCTTATAGCAGAAAGTGAAGAACTAAAGAGCCTCTTGATGAAAGTGAAAGAGGAGAGCAAAAAAGTTGGCCTAAAACTCAACATTCAAAAAACTAAGATCATGGCATCTGGTCCCATCACTTCATGGCAAATAGATGGGGAAATAATAGAAACAGTGACTGACTTTATTTTTGGGGGCTCCAAAATCACTGCAGCCATGAATTTAAAAGACGCTTTCTCCTTGGAAGGAAAGTGATGACCAACCTAGACAGCATATTAAAAAGTAGAGACATTACCATGCCGACAAAAGTCCATATAGTCAAAGCTACGGTTTTTCCAGCAGTCATGTATGGATGTGAGAGTTGGACTATAAAAAAAGCTGATGCTTTTGCACTGTGGTGTTGGAGAAGACTCTTGAGAATCCCCTGGACTGCAAGGAGATCCAACCAGTCCATCCTAAAGGAAACCAGTCCTGAATATTCATTGGAGGGGCTGATGCTGAAGCTGAAACTCCTATACTTTGGCCACCTGATGTGAAGAGCTGACTCATTGGAAAAGACCCTGATGCTGGGAAAGATTGAAGGCAGGAGGAGAAGGGAATGACAGAGGATGAGATGGTTGGATGGCATCACCAACTCTATTGACATGAGTTTGAGCAAGCTCTGGGAGCTGGTGATGGACAGGGAGGCCTGGCATGCTGCAGTCCATGGGGTTGCAAAGAGTCAGACACGACCCAGCAACTGTACTGAATAGGATGTTGTAAGTGGAGGTCCTTAGTGACCTTGATAAAAGGCAAATAATTTCCAAAAAGAACTATAAAGTGGACACAATATATAGAAAACTCTTCTTAAAGGGAGCAAAGATATGGAGGGGTATGAGGGGT